AAGGTACAGTGGAGAAAAATGAAAATGCATAGGTAGATAAAAAGATTCAAAATATAATATCTCATATTTCAAATGAAGAAGAAGAAGAAGAAGTGACTTTCATTTGCTTTGAGCCAATATTTCAGCAAGCGATATGTCAGGAATTGTACACACCCACTCCCACACACACACGCACTTTCTCTCTCACACACAGATAAAATGTCATGACAATGAATAATGCATTCAGAAAAGTACATGTGCAGACACATGCATCCCTATATGCTGACATAAACAATGACGACCTTCATTTTAAACCTCCGTCTCTCTGCTCTGGTGATTGGCTGTCAACGCGGGAACCTCCCCACGTATGGTCACGGTTTCCCATTATTACTAAAGCTCTGTCTACGACACTTTTCATAAATGTGTACATTTAAAAAAAAACAAAAAACCAACATTTCCAATGATGGTCACAGATGAATCACAGACCGTCTTTTCCATCACTGACATCAGCTGCAAAAGTCCCGTCCAGGATTCACCCACCATGATTTCGCCTTGATTATTATCCTATTCTGACCCTGATACTCAGACACAGCTGGAGTATAAAACACCATTCTCATTATTGTCTGTAAAGGTAACATGCCTCCGATGCTCTCTTCTAGGAGCACAGGCTGCTGGGTAAGACGTCGGAGTGACAGCCGGTAACTCTGGGAGCTTGTCTTTAAGTCCTTCATCGTACGTGTCTACTGGAGTTTGGGTTTGGCTCCACCAGGAGTTAGATCAGGAGGAGGGCCACCTCCACGGGCAAGTCGCTCAAAGCTGCAGTAAAGACAGAGAGAGGGAGAGAGAGGGAGCGAGAGAGAGGGTGAGAGAATAATTAGCCCAGTCATTTAAATATAACTACAAAAATGTTTATGCTTAAGAATTGGGTTTCACTCAAGCTTGGCCATTCTACCATCTTCAAATCTAGAACTGAAAAGTAAATCTGAAGGTAGGGTTGAAGCGATAATAAAATTCTAAAAATGCATGATTGAAAACAAGCCAATCCAATGATCCAATACAGTAACGGGTTTTTACCAAATCAGTTTATTGACCTATATTATTTTATTCTATATTTATTTTTACAATTTTCTAGAATATTCAGTCAGTGGCGAACTGTCAATTAAATCGACGTCCATTTCTCATTTATGCCACTTAAAATAATTAGCGCCTCAGTGCAACAACCACAAATGGCATCGGGCTATTGTCATCTAGCCCCACTAGATGGAGCCACACTCACATGTCTTTGATGTTGTCAAACTGGGCCTGAATTTTGGCAATGACGCTGTCCACTTGCTCCTGTAACGAAGCGGTTAACGGTTAAAATATTGGTGAAATATTTAAACACGGATGAAGAAATGAAGAACCGGCCGAGGTCAGAACGTGAAGACCGAGTTGACGGGATGGTTACCTGGCGCTGTTGGTAGAAAAGTGGCAGAGAAAAGAGGGCAATCACACCTGAGGGAAGAGAGAGAGAGAGAGAGAGAGAAAGACAAGCTTTAAAACAGAAGACACACCCAGATGTTTGACAATTTCCTGTCAGCTGTCAGTGGATGAGTGCTTCTTACTGATGATGAACAGAGTAAGGCCATTGAACAGGGCTCCCAGGAACGTCATGAGGTACATCAGGACCAGGAACTAAGGCCAAGGGAAACAGAGACAGAGAAACAGCTGCAGAGATTTAGTTTGGACTTTAATCACAGATCCATGCAGAGGTCAGGAACTACCCCCAGCCCCTCAACCACCAGCCCTGTCCCATGTGGTTTCTATCAACAGTAAATAAGTCGCCTGCACTGGATTACACTGTGGAAATCAAATGCAGCAGAGAAAAAAAAAACTACTCTAATTCACGTGCCTCTAGTGCAGGCATCGGCAAACTAAGGCCCGGGGGCCGGATGCAGCCGCTCAGCCTTTTAATCCAGTTTTTCAAACTAATTAATTAATTTATATCATCTTTATACTACTGCCTTTTCCCTGCAATACCCACGTTTCCCCAATAGATGGCGCCAAAATGACAATGACAAAAGTATTTAAACATGTTAGCCTTTATGCATGACTTTTACATGTCATGTATCTTAGTTCACACGAACGCTCCATCTATCTGCTCCTGACCCCGCCCCCCCCGTTCAATTTTAGGACCAATTGCAGCCCGTGAGTCAAAAAAGTTTGCCCACGTCTGCTCTAGCGCATGTAACCCAGTAGTCAGTGCGGCCCTGATATGAGACACCCCCCTCTGTGTCAGATGGAAAGAGTCCCCCCCCCACACTACCACGTTTCTGCCTGCCGTGCCACATACCGTCCAGGTCAGGGTTGAAGCTGGGGGCGCTGGGATTCAGAGGCTGGGTTACCTCACACTGACTCAACATTTACTGTACAGGTGTTAAGTCCGGGTGTTCACAGGCTGATGTGCTTCGTTACTGAGCTTAGCACATTCCTTTCATCTGCTGTAATTGGAATAAATAGACCTGGGTCTGGATATAATAGTTATCTTCAGCCAACAGTGAAGACCAGGACCAGTTTGACTGAGGGACTGATCGTGTTTAGAGGGAAATGGTGAAAGATGATGGGAGATAGTTCATGTGGCTGACAGCTGGACTCCTGGCTGATACTGATCTACTGTGTGGCTGTGTCTTATTGTTTCTTTTCACAAATATTATCTCTTAGTTTCCCGTGATGTACCGTTAAATACTAACCTTGAGGGAATCGAAAAGATTTCCAACGAAGAGCAGTCTCTTCAGAGTGTCTACAGCGGACAGGGTCATAACAATGGCTTTCTGCATGTACTGTTCAGCCTGCTCTCCACTGAAAGTGACGTCCATGTCCAAGTACGACCTGCGGTGGACAGGGATAGTGAGACACAAAGACCATGGACGTGTTTTTCACATTAAAAATTATTTTTCATTGAAGGATACTTTTTAAGGAAGTCAAGATACTTTATAGTGCAGTACTTATTCTCACAGGTCCTCTATTTATAGTACTGTTTGTGTAATTAAAGTTGGTCATATGGGAAACGAGCAGCACATTATCACATGAGATCAGTTAAAAATGACCAATTTTTCTTTACAAATAATGAACATGAATGAAATACTATGTTAGAATATGTACTATTAACTAGAATACCTATTCAGGTCCACAGGACCCACATGCCTGACTATTGGACTGGATAAAAGCGACTGCTAAATGTAAATGTGATTAAAATAATGTAATACACAGTACATGATAAACCAGAATACGTGTGTACAGCCCTGATTTACTGTGTTTATTCAACTGTGAAAATAGATAGTCCAAAAATATACGTGACGTCAAATCGGGACTCGCGTCTGAAATTCTTGACCTGTCCCTTTACTTTATAAAAATCGAAACAATCCCAGAGATAAAGACGAAAGACCCCTTTACTTTACTTTATAAAAATCAAAACAATCCCAGAGATAAAGACGAAAGACGGTGTCTTACTTGAAGGGATGCAGCCCATCGCCCCACTTCAGGGCATGGAGGACGTGGTAGTAGATGCGAACACACATGGTGATGCAGACGACAGCCAGGGAGGCGGTGGAGACCACGGTGATGATGCTAAGCTGGAACAGGGTCAGCAGACCCACCACGATTCCTGTTAGCACCATCCCTGTCCGCTCCGTGTCCTTCCAGTAGATCAGGTCCATTACTGTGAGACACAGAGGGAAGAGGGGACATTGTACGGACGGTCAAATGAGTGCGCCGCAGACAAATGACGAAAATGATGAAAAGCGAATGGTTTGAAGCAGTGACGACGATTTAATTTTAAAGTGATAGCCTTAAAATTAACAGTGTTTCTACTTTGTCTTTGAATATAAATCTTGATTAGTAAAGTGTTTAGAGTCACATAAAACATCTGTGATGTCTGTGCTGCAGTGTCAGTATCTACTGTCAGTCACCTCTGGGCCATATTCCACCAGCCTATTTCAATCTGGTCGAAATCTGGCATGAAATGCATACTTTTATACCAGTCTTTAATTTTTTCTTTATTACCAACTACATTCCATGCATGTTCTCCCCGTGTGTGTGTGTGTTCATTATGGGATTAAGGTTGATGGGCCCACTCTAAATTGATTGAAGGTATGAATGTGTGTGTAAATTGTCTCTATATTTGGCCCCACAGTTGACCAGCTGTGATCAGAGTATGACCACGCCTTCGTCACTGACAGCTGGGATACAATGGAATTCTCACACGATAAAAAAGTCGCATTAACATCTGATTTACGACTTGGAGCGAAGAGCCAACAGAAGAGACAGAGGGACAGTCAAAGATAGACAGCAGAATTGTTTGGGTGTTGGAATTCCTAGTGCACAAAAAGGGACAATTCATGTCTGTATTGGGAGAGAAAAAAAAAACGTGGAAGAGAAGTTGAAGAACTTGTTCACTGCTGGATATTCAGTCTGCAGAATCAGAGCAGACACACGGCGGCTTTGAGGACACCACAGCTAATTTTAGTCCTCAGATGAAAGAGGGAAGCAGGAGAATTTAGACGCAGGATTTCTCCACACCTGCTCGCACACGTCAGAGACTTCAGCAGCCGCTTCTCCACACTCTGGAGGTTTCCCCTCACTGTCACCCGGCAACAGCCG